TGGCTCCTGAGGAAAGCCTTGGTGGTATTTACAAAAATCTCCTCTCCCTTCCCAAGGTCATTAGAGGTGCAATTACAGAACAGTGATTATTCCTGAAATGGATGGGATACAGGATGGAGAGGTTCCTAAGCTACATGCTCAGGATCTAACCCATAAGAACAGCCGTACTGGGTCAGACCAAAGGTCCATCTAGCCCAGTAGCCTGTCTACCGGCAGTGGCCAATGCCAAGTGCCCCAGAGGGAGTGAACCTAACGGGTAATTATCAAGTGATCTCTCTCCTGCCGTCCATCTCCACCCTCTGACAGACAGAGGCTAGAGCCACCATTCCTTACCCATCCTGGCTAATAGCCATTAATGGACTTAAATTCATGGAGGTTATCCAGTTCTCTTTTAAACGCTGTTATAGTCCTAGCCTTCACTGGGGAGCTTGGAAAGACCATAGCTCATTAATAGCTCACTGAATATAGAACGCCAGGCTGACCCCTGTGAATTCATGTGAATTGTCCCTTCAGTGGGAGGACTCGGGTATGGGTGATTCAGCTGCTGGACTGGGCCCCCAGCCTGGAAGATTTGAGGGGCTGGGGAGGAGCTACCATTCATGTGTTCACGAGAGTCTTCTGTTTGTCCTGCTGATGCAGCAGAAGGCAGTTTGGATGGAAGCTGAGGACAGTGAAGGTGGTTAGGCGAGCTGAGTCACGGATGCTCCTCTAAAACCTCCAGGGCAGGCAAAGAACGTGCATCAGGGAATGGTTTGTGAAGTAAGGAGGAGCTGTGTACCAGCCAGAGATGCATTCATTAGGATCTCAGAAAATTCTGCGTCACAGCTCTGCACAAACGGAGGGAGGGAAGAGACTTGCAATAGCACAATTGCTGTTTGATGCAGTTCGTTGAACAGGGAACACAGTCAGCAGCTCTGCTGGGCCTCATCTCAGAAAACAGAGCAGGAGCGATAAATAAGACTTAAGCTGATTCTCGGGGCCCAAGTGAGCAGGATTTCAGAGATTCGACATGCTAACCTGGTTAAACTCTCAGCAACACCAAAGTTTTGGGCTTTGGGGAAGCTGACTTTGAGGCAGCTTGCAAAGCCCAGAGGGCTCCTGATTGGAGCTGCGGGAAGGTGGGAAAAGTTCAGGGACCTGGCAATAGAAATTCATCCTGGCTGAACCTCAGGCTGAGCAGTGAGGAAAGAATAATGGAAGATTTAAGCTGGAGGCTTTTAGAAATATGCACCATCGGGTAGGAAGGAGAATTAGGTGATCACCTCAAGCCAAAGCAGCAGCAAGTTGGATGATTAGCGGTCCAAGAAAAGGCACACGTTGGACCACAAAGAATACTGCAGCTGGTACCGAGGCCGCATCGTTCACCTGGGGGGTGGAGTGGGATTGCACACCCCCCCGGGGTGGGGTCGGGGAAAGATACTGGGAGACATTCTGCAGGGAGCAGGCACCATGGTTCTGTACATCACCAGGCTGTACTTACTTAGCTATTCTTGGAAACTAATTTGCACAGGAAGAGAAAAGGTGGGGAGGGGAGGTTGCTACATGGTCCAGCCCAAGTGCAGTGGCAGGCAGGGGACACCAGCGCAGGTGCCCTCTATACGCAGCCATGTGATCGATTGCTGAGGGTTAAAATAGAAACTGAATGAGCCTGAGAACATGTGCGGGGAGACCAGCTGTTCAGGAGAGCAAAGACCTAGCAAAGGAGGATGGGGGAAGAGAGGCAGAAATGTCACCCCAAGGGGATGGGGGGGTGTCACAGCCTTGGGGGAGGGGCTGCACTGAGGTCTGAATGTGGGTATTTGGTATCTAGCAGCTTTCTGAAGTGAGAAAAGGAACCTGTCCAGAGGCCGGTGTGTGGAGTGCGACGGGACAGCGGCTGTGGCGAGTGCTTGGGTATGGCAGACCCAGTTTGTGTGGACTAGGATCCCCCCGACCCTTCCCCCCACCACCCCTGAACTGAACCTTTTCTAGCATTCAGAAGTGTTTGATCTCCTTTTGTGTTTCCGTTATTTTTGTGCTGGCGCTGCCTGCACACTTCCTGCTTCCAGTGCCAACTCTGGTGGTCAAAACCCATGAGACTGGCATTAAAACCACAAGATTTAAACATGAATCACTTCGGTCTTTGTCCTCTGGTTTCTGAACCTGTGGGGGTTGCGTCTCCCAGCATTTCTCTGCAGCCAGGAGAGCTGGGAACTCCTCTTTTCACAACAGCTGAAATTCTCTTGCAATTACAGGCCTCCAGGAAGTCAACCTTTAAGTAAAACATCAACTGTCACGAGACTCCTGATCCAATCATGACAGTTGGCAACTCGGTCAAATCTCCCAGAGACATTCAGGCCAGTGCAGCAGGCCCCAGAGGTTCGGAGAACTCCTCTTCCTCCTGGAATGGCCTCATCATCCACAGACACTGGATCCCCACGTCTTCTCCCACCCCTCTGTTCTCTGGCATTCTGCCCTGCACCTCCTGCCATTGCACCTTGCCCAAGTGGGTGTAACACACTACCCATTCCGATTCCCGGCCCCACTCACACCAGGTGCACACTTTGCACAGGTGCAGATCAGAACACAAGCCAGTGGCCAGTTCTGCTGACCCACCCAAACAGCCAGGGGCCCAGTCCAGGTTCTGAGAGCATTCCAAAGGGACTGTCCCAGCACATGCAGAGCTGTACCATTGACTCCAAGAGCAGTGTGAGCTGTTCACACCCCATTTGTCTATGCCATTGGGGGTATATTAGAGGGTGCCACACAGCAGCAGGTGTCTCCTCGCTTTCGTCCCATTTGTGTAACCTGGGTCCCCTTCCAGCCTTGCAAAAGTGACCCAAGAGGTGTTGAGACCTGGAAGACACTCGCCTGCTGCCTAGCCAGGTCCCTCTTCTGCAAATAGTTGTGTCCGATTACAGGAAAAGCCAAGCAGTCCTAGACTGGACGGTGTCACCTTCTCAGCATGGCAGGGAGCGAGAGCTCAAGGGCTCCTTCCCGCTGGCATGTGCAAACACTTAGTCACAGGGAAACCTGCCCAGGGGAAAAAGGGAGATTCATATTTCAAGGGCTTCAGAGTTATTCTGAGAGAAGGATGGAGACTGAGCCAACAGCCTCTGAACGGACATAGCCTTGACGCACAAACAGGCCTGGCCGTCTGCCCCTTCTCTTCCTCCCTTGTGTTTGTTATGTAGCCCCTGCCCATCCACTCCCACTCTCTCCCATTCATTTCTGCAGGTGTCATGGTTTCTTGGCACTAAATCCCTCCAGGTTCTGGTTTCCCCAATTCCCAGGATTATTCTTTGCAGGACCCCCGCTTCCCTGTGGTGGCAGGCAGGTGTTTTACCCATGATTATTATGGGCTTGCTCCCATATCCCTGTGCCCCCTCCTGGTCCTGGCACCAGGGATAAGTTATGCTCTTGCACACCTAGGTCTTCAGCCGCAGGCCCGTGAGAGCAGAACTGGCCTGTGGCTTTCACCCCCCCCCGCCCCCCCCAACGCGCGCAGACTGCACTCCCAAGTGCTCCGGGATCTTATCTTCCACCCACCTTCCCCTTGTCACTGGGGAGAACATCCCACTGCCCGCCTGTGCCAGTGGGGTCTGTCTGGAGTCTCACCTTGGTACTGCAGTGCTGAGTGCCAGAGCATCTCCCATGACGTAGGTGCAGTTCTAATGGGTGCATGGGGCAAGGTCAGCCTGTGTGAGTGAGGTTTGCCCTCCTGTCTCTGGAGGGGCTCAGTGGATCCAGATTCGACTGTTCTACTCTTTCCCAGGGGCTCATGCAGATCTAGGGAAACCCCGGCGGTTTTCCAATCCCATGGTAGCATCATCACACAAAGTGCTGCAGGCACAGCTCGCGGGGGCTGGCAGTGGTAGCCCATGCCCGGAGTCTGTGTCCAAATTCAAAGGCCTCCCCGTGCTTCTGGCAATACAGTTTGTCATTTATCAGCAAAGATAACACAATAATCTGCCCCCATGTCCACCCAGCCATCCCCCCTTGTGCCCCCTGTACCTCCTCTGCCTCCATGCCCCTGTGTCCCACAGGCCAGGCCTCTGTGCCCCCTGCTCCCCACCTTCTCTGGCCCCCTACTCATGCTTGTCATTCCCCCCACCCCCAGGCCATGCCTTCCCCACACGAGGCACATGGGTGAGGAGGCTGCCATGGAGTTGCTACGTCCCTGAGGCACAGAAGGGTTCCCAAGCCCAGGCTGTACCGACACATTCCCGTCCCACTGCCATTTGGAGAATAAAGCAGGCTTGCACTAAGCAGAGCAGGCAGATCCCTGTGGCTCCTCCCGAGACAGTGCCCAGCTCCCCCCATACGCCCTCTTTGTAGCACAGGTGCCAGGAGCAGACCAGAAGGGTGGGGAGAATAAAGCCCCTGGGGCAGATGTGAGCCCCACTTCCCAGCTAGGTAACCACCCTGCTCCCCCTGAGCTGGGCATGTCCCAGCACCCCTAATCCCTCTGGAGGCAGATGGAGCTGGGGCACCAGAGCCACAGAGCACTTTGCTGGGAAAGTCAGAACTCCCCGGCTGGGGAGAGAGCAGACGCTGAAATACAACTTCCCATCAGCACCGTGTAGTTCCTGCAAGGTCCTGTCGAACCGACCTTTCAATTCAAGCCTGTCAGGCAGTGAGCAGGAGGTGGGGGAAGTGGGAGGGAGAAAAACTCTCTGATCAGATGCTCTGCCGTGCAGTCCCAAGTGAGAGAGAAACAGAGACAGACCGAGCACCTAGAAACCTGAACAAGGACCGAATGCAGCAGACTGCGGTGAGTGCTTGGCAGCCTTTCCCATTCTAACCCTTTCCTTTCCTCCCTTCAGCGCAGTATCCTTCTGCTTCTGCTGCCTCCCTTCCTGCTCAGGGCAAGGATTTGTCACTTATTAGTCCTAGGAAAATCCTTTGCCATCAAATCCCGCTGTTCTCCTCCAGCAGTAATGCCATAGGACCATAGAAGTTGGCCCCTTAAAACTCTTTGGAATATGGGGGTTGCCTGTCTGGATCAGACCAGGGTCAGTCTAGTCCAGGGTCCTGTCTCCATCAGAGTCCAGAGCCAGCTGTTCCGGAGGAAGGTGCAAGACATTCAGCAGCCGCACCAGTTATGGGATAGTCTGCCCCCAGGGAAAGTTCCTTCCTGACCCCCAGGAGTTACCGGTTGGCTCATGCTCTGAAGCAGGAGGATTTACAGCCCTTCCCAAACTCTTGGTTAGTTTATTGTATTTACTATTATGCTTCTGGCTATTCTTAGTACTCCCAGAAATGCCTCATCTCTTATTTGATTCTTGCTGAGCTCTTAGCCTCAGGCCAAAGGCTCTTAAGCAAAGTAAGCAGTTATGCATTAAGAGGGAAGGTCCTCTCCTGGATCAGTAACTGGTTAAAATACAGGAAACAAAGGGTCGGAATAAATGATCAGTTTTCACAAGGGAGAGAGGTAGCTAGCAGTGTCCCCCAAGGATCTGCACTGGAACCAGTGTTGTTCAACATATTCAGAAAATACCTGAAAAAAAGGGGGAGCAAATACTGAGGTGGCAAAATTTGCAAATGATACAAAATTACTCAAGATAGTTAAGCCCAAAGCTGACTGCAGAGAGTTGCAATTACAAAGGGATCTCACAAAACTGGATGACAGGGCAACACAATGGCAGATGAAATTCAATGTTGATAAATGCAAAGTAAGGCACATTGGAAAACAATCCCAACTATACATATAAAAATAATGGGTCTACATTAGCTGTTATCACTCAAGAAAGATCATGGACAGTTCTCGGAGAACATCCACTCAATATGCAGCGGAGCTCAAAAAAGCTAACAAAGTTAGGAACCATTAGGAAAGGGATAAGACAGAAAATATTATAACCCACCCCGGTACTCTCACACCTTGAATACTGCATGCAGTTCTGGTTGCCCCAGCACTAAAAAAACAAAAAAACAAACAAAACAAAAAAACCACAAACACATATTACAATTGGAAAACATACAGAGAAGGGCAAGAAAAATTATTTGGGGTATGGAACAGCGTCCATATGAAAGGAGAGATTAAAATGATTGGTACTATTCAGCTTAGAAGAGAGACAACTGAGCGGGGATATGATAGAGGTCTATAAAATCATGAATGAGGTGGAGAAAGTGAACAGGGAAGCGTTATTTCCCCTTCACATAACACAAGAACCAGGGGTCTCCCAATGAAAGTAATTGGCAGCAGGTATAAAACAAACAAAAGGAAGTACTTCTAACAATGCACAGTCAACTGTGGAACTCATTGCCAGGGGATGTTGTGAAGGCCAAAACTAGAACTGGGTTCAAAAAAAGTAGTAAAGTTCATGGAGGATAGGTCCATCAGTGGGTATTAGCCAAAGTGGTCAGGGATGCAACCCCATGCTCTGGGTGTCCCTAAACAGAGTGTGGCAGCGTCCCACAGGTCAGTTGTGCATTGTGTGAAAACGTGTTCCTGCTCGCCAGTTTGAAATTTCCCCCCTTTAAGTGCATTGACTGTCCCCTGGTCCCTGTGCATTGAAACATGGTGAACACAAGGGCCCGAGCTGCCTTCTTCACCCTGCTCATTATTTTAATAGACTTTTGTCAAGTTCCCTCTTATTTGCCTCTAAGGTAAACAAGCCCAGTCTATTGAGTCTCCCATTATGAAAGTTTTTCCAGGCCCCTGATCATTCTTGTTACCTTTCTCTGAACCCCTCTAATTCCACTGTAGCCTTCTTGAGATGGGTTCTCACTTTGATTTACAGAGTGGCATTAGATTCTGCCGCCTGTTCTTGGTGTACTCTAACCGTTTTTTCCCCCACCACAGGCGCACATTGGACAGAGCTCTCCATCAATATGTTCACCTCATGCCCCGCCCCTTTCCTGAGCTGATATTGTTAATTAGATGTAGGAGTAATTCAGATTATTCCCTCTAAACATGCACCACTTTGCATTTAACAACACACATTTTTATATGACAGTGTGTTGCCACAATTCACCTACTTTGGTTAGGTTCCTCCAGAGTCCTTAAAATCTCTTCTGGTCTTGTCTAGGCTAAAGAATTTTGTTTGCAGTGTTGCTGTAGAGGTGTGAGTCCCAGGACATTAGCATGACGGAGGGGGAAGAGGTAACACCTTTTATTGGACCAACTTCGGGTGTGAGAGACACAAGCTTTAGAGCTCCATAGAGCTCTTCAGCAGGTCATAATTGTGTCATCTGCAAATGTTGCCACCTTTCTGCTTAACCCCTTTTCCAGATTGTTAATAAATCTTCCAGGCCGCTTATAAAGATGTTAAATAGCATAGGGCCAAGAACCAATTTCTGAGCCCCTGTACAAAATTCTCCTTCCTAGCAGGATGGGAATTGCCATTAAAATCCATTATTATTCTGGTGGTAATGAAAATTGACCATTTATTCCTGCTTTCTGTTTCCTATTTAGCATCACTGAAAGTTTGCAGAGGACACTAAAGTTGGGGGGAGTGGTAAATAAAGAAGAGGACGATGGGTCACTGATTCAGACCAATCTAGATCGCTTGGTAAGCTGGGTGCACCAAACAATATGCATTTTAAATACAGCTAAACGTAAATGTGTACATCTAGGAACAAAGAATGTAGGCCATACCGACAGGATGGGGGCCTCTAGCCTGGGAAGGAGTGACTGAAAAAAGTGTGGGGGCTGTGGTGGATAGTAGCTGAACATGAGCTACTAGTGTGATGCTGTGAAATGCGATTCTGGGATGCATAAACAGGGGAATATCGAGTAGGGGCAGAGAGGATTTTTCACCTCTGTGTTTGGCACTGGTGCGACTGCTGCTGGAACCCTGTGTCCAGGTCTGGTGCCCACAATTCAATAAGGATGGTGATAAATTGGAGAAGGGTCAGAGAAGAGCCACGAGAATGATGAAAGCAGTGGCTCTTAACCAGGGGTACATGTACTTCTCGGGGTGCACCACGGTCTTCCCGTGGGTACATCAACGCTTTGAGATATTTGCCTAGTTTTACAACAGGGCTACATTAAAAGCCCTAGTGAAATCAATACAAACTAAAATTTCATACAGACAATGAGTTGTTTATACTGCTCTAGATACTATACACTGAAATGTAAGTACAATGTTTATAATCCAACTGATTTATAATTATATGGTAAAATTGAGAAAGTCAGCCATTGTTCAGTACTAGTGGGCTGTGTCACTTTTGTATTCTTATGTCTGATTTTGTAAGCAAGTAGTTTTTTAAGTGAGGTGAAACCTAGGGGTAGGCAAGACAAATCAGACTCTGGAAAGGGGTACAGTAGCCTGGAAAGGTTGAGAGCCACTGGATTAAAGGATTAGAAAAGATGCTTTATAGTGACAAGCTAAATAGATTGAGCTCTTGGAGTCTAACAAAGAGAAAGTTAAGGGGTGACTCAATTACAGCCGATCAGTACCTGTGTGGAGAACAAATATTTAATAATGGGCCCTTCAGTCTAGCAGAGAAAGGTCTAACGTGATCCAATGGCTGGAAGTTGAAGCTAGACAAAGGCAGACAGGAAACAAGGCACATGGAGTAATTAACCGCTGGAACAATTGACCCAGGCTTGCGGTGGATTCTCCGTCACTGACGGTTTTGAAATCCAGATTGGATGTTTTTCTACAAGCTCTGCTCTGGGAATGATTCTGGGGCCAGTCTTTGGCCTGTGCAATTCAGGGGGTCAGACGAGATGATCACAACCGTCCCTTCTGGCCTTGGAATCGGTGAATGGAATGAATCATGCAGGTACTCAGATACCACGGCTTTGGCTGCAGTATAAGAATGAAACTAGACTAGACGAGAGGTAGTTTAAAGGGCCAGGACCGTGTGACAGTGCTAAATGCTATTATTATTGGCACCTGACCTAGGTACCAATAAGAGGTGTGAGGCAGGGCAGTAACGAAGGGGACAGAGTATGGAATAGGGTCAGTTTTACTCCATGGAATGTGTAGTTTCCACGGGTGTATTGTAGCGATGTGATCACCTTCCCCCATTTCATGGGGACTGGAAGGTGTAAATGTTTCCAAGGGCAATTTTCATTTACACAGCGACATACTGAATCAGGAAAGCTGTCTCCAGTCAGGTTAGCATCATGTTTACATTGACAAGTAAATGGGCAGACTGCACACACTGAACCCGTCCTGTAAACGGACTGTGCAGTCTGGAAAGGTGTGTGCAAACCAGGCATGACCGGATTGATCAGCCACAAACCCTGCATGACAGCGGGTCAGTCATCCCCATCTGCACACACTGCAAACTATTGTTTTGTCATGCTGGAGCCAGCCCACGCTAGCAGCAGCAGAGTGGAGGGGAAGTTAAATGCAGCCTCTCTGGCCTATGGCGGGGGAAGCAGGGTTCTGAAATGTGATCTGCGAGCCACAAGCAGGTTGCACACAGGACAGTGTGGCATTCCCTGCTCATCTAAGCAAATGGGGTTTGATGGGAGCTCGCCAAGGGAAACCCAGGTGCTGATGGAAGGCTGATTGAGTGGATTGTTTGTGATCTTCCCCCGGAGGCAGAACCCAACCATGCTCCAAATGATCCAATGCCTCAGGCTGGTACTAGAGGCCATGTTGCTGCAAGAGGTCCCACCCATGGGAGGAGATGTAGAACTTCATCCCTCAGCCGTACAGGAAAGATCCCAAGAGATTTCCCAGAACCCGCTGTCCTAGACCAGTCCCAGCTCAGAGAATTACCCTCAGCCTAATTAAACTCCCCCTGCAGTGTCACCCGGATGCAGCATTCCCTTCTCTTCGTGTCCCAATCTGTGGTGTGGTGGGGTTGTCATTCTGGCTTCCATGTTCTGCCCTGGGGGCAGCTGCATTTCAGTAGCAGGTGAAGTAAGCCCTAGATCTGTGTCGTTTGGGACGCTGGCGGATGAAAGGTGCTATAGACTTGCAAGTTACAGATATAGCTGGAACCGAGGAGTTGTGTAATTTTGTGACCAATCTTAATAAACTGTGTAGTTATGCTAAAAAAAAAAAAATCAGGCTTCATGTTTCAGGCACAAGCTAACTACTGACTGCAGGGGTCAAGAGGGATCCACTCTTCTGCCCCCACTGCATTCCCCAGC